GATGATCAATAAAGACATCTTTTCAACAGTTTTTATCTGATTGTGAAAAAAGATATTCATCAATAGACATTTTTTCTATTATGTATCATTGTATCTATAATAATGTGACGTAAAACAATTGTCTTACCTCTTGCATTATGTGCCATTCCTCCATCTCACACATGTGATACTCCATAACAAAATAAAAGTAAAATATGCGTGGTTAGAAATACTGTACGTCCTTGGTAACTTTTCATTGGAAGAAAAGTTGGAATTTTTCACTCTTTCTTTCTATAGTGATGTCAAATAAAACAACGATACGACTGATTCGTAGCATCGAGATAAAAAGGATGACTAATTTTTCTCGATGACAAACTAATACGTCGTCATACAAAATTTGATAAAGATTAGGAATAAATAACTGATTTTGTTCAGAAACACATTTTATTTGGATATTTTGATCCATTATGAAATAAAGAATGCAAACTTTTATTTGAATTAATAAGTTAAGCTGTTAGCGTCACCAGATGACGCACGTTGCCACTAAACACGTACATTCTTTCCAGTTGGGCATCCTCCTTCGATGCCTTTTTGATCAGATTATGGCTGCTGAGCAGTCTCGTCGTCTTTCTCTCGTGTCGCTCACCCCTTGTTATCCTTTTTATCTCTTTGGTTCATTATCGTCCTTTCATCTTCCTGACCATCCTCAGTTTAGCATATCAGAATTTGGGTGTGGATGTGGGTGTGTGGGTGTGGGTACAGGTGTGGGTGTGGGTGTGGGTACGGGTGTGGATGTGGGTGTGTGGGTGTGGGTACGGGTGTGGGTATGGGTAGCGGTGTGGGTCTTCTCCTACCAATACACCCACACCCCGATGGTGATGGGAGTTAATCAGAGACACAAATGACAATCCTAAAATATCGATGCATGAATCAAAATCACATGAGAAAAACATGCAAATTGGGACAAAACTTCAGTTAAATAAACTGAAATTCTACATGCTCATAGAGATAATTTAAGAGATATAAATCTGACAGAGAAAAATTGTTTATCTGGCTAGTGTCGCAGGCTCTCTCACACAAATGTGTTGCAGTTAGAATGTATCGTGTTCTATCTACTTACTATTCCATTCATCGTTCTGTTTTGCACATATAGCCACATATACACAACTCAGTTGAACATGCGATACTTCTGTATTTTTGTGTCTTTTTTTGTAGATTATTTCTCGATTAGTTATTAGTCAAGAACATGCCAATCTCTATCGATGACCCAGAGAGGGCTACCCTAAATCGGTCTGATCGAGATCGGACCAACTCGAGACGGACAGATCTCAAGATCTGATAAAAATAAAAAATGCACTGTATACTAGATTCGAACCATGTTTTCAGAATGTGTCGCATGTGTTGTAGAAGAATGTGTTGGACCGTTGCTGGACAAAATGTGTCGTAGTGTGTGATCACGTATGTAGAAATGCGATAGATTATGCACTTATTTTTTATTATTGCCTAAAAAAAATGAGTGATAAACATATGTGTGTCTATTAAAACAATGCAATGCGAGATTGACAGCCATCAGAATTTCAAATTGGTACACAATGCCATATTGTACTATTTGTTATCTGATTATTTTGCTGAACAATAATTCAATAAAGTCAACATCCATTGTACACCGTAAGGGCTACACCAGTTAAGAGAAGAACGAGCATTTTCAATTGAGATTAGAGAACTTGAGCAAAATAATATATATTATAGAAGTAACAAAAACAGACAATCAAATCGATCGATCATAGTATACTCTTCAGTATTGCAATAAAGAGATCTGAAAAGGACATAGCATTGACCGAAGCAATGGAACATTGTTTTTGAATTAACAATTTTTACTAATCCTTTTCATTTTCATTTTCTTGAGAATAACTTAACAAATAAGATAATTCGAGTCATCGATAAATACTCAACAAAAGTTGTATATTCATTTTTATAATGAAACATCATATGACAACTAAATACAGAACTAACAAGGGAACATTCTCAGGTGTCCATTTGCTTTTGAGTCGGGACATAGCATATCTTGTAGACCTTGATGAGTTGTGTGTATTAGAAAAAAAGTTCGCGCTTCTGGCTTATTTCTGAGGAGATGGAACGTTTTTACTATTACAGCTATAAGAGTCATCCAATGAGAAAAAATCACTATCACAGCCAATATAAATTGAAATGAATTGAGATTTTCCTCGTATATAGTGGTACTCATGTAGTAGATAATATGAAAGTTTGAGCTCAAATGACCTTATAATGATGAATTATCATAAATGTTAACGTGGCTTTTAATGTCATTAATTATACTACTTCTTAAAATTACAAGACATAGGACTGAAACTGTTAGAATTGAGAGCACCAATGTCTTAATACTATTTCCAATATTTAATAATGGTAGCTTGTCATTATAATTTATTTATTTTGTCTTCTATCTTGATGTCCGTAGTAATACTTATATTGTAAGTTAAATATACAGAGGTCTCTTTCGTGTACGAGCATGAAGCGTGGTGATTGACAAGAAATGACCCGGATTAGTGCAGGTGATTAATGGCATTGAAAATCACGGTAACATTTGCGATAACCCGCCTTTTCAAGGTCACTTGGGCTCAAACTTTCACATCATCTACCACATGAGTACCATTATACACGAGGAAAATCTCAGCTCGTTTCAATTTATATTGGCTGCAATAGCGATTTTTTCTGATAGGATGACTCTTATGACTGTAATAGTAAAAACGTTCCATTTCCTCAAAAATAAACTAGAAGCATGAAATTTTTTTATGGTAGACATAACTCATCAAGATCTACAAGGTGCGCTAAGTACCGACTCAAAAGCGAACGGATACCTGGGAATGTTCTTTTGTAAGTCTAACTTTCTCGGTAGTTGAGAACTGAACAGATCAGTTCAATGCTGGAAAATTAGTTAGAATAAATATTCAAATTATTCTGCTTGTTTATTCAATAGTAAAAGCATCTGTATATTGAATGATGATAAAAATACTTTGAATAGTCTCATATCTTAAGACTCCTAGGTCAATTTTCGTACCATATTTTCATTTGCAAATGATCTTATCCAATAGGCTATACATTCTTTTCTCAACTTTCGCTGTTGAATGTTTCTCTTATAGATAAAAAAAAAGTAGAATTCGTCGAAGATGTCGATGAAAGATAAACTCTATCATTGAATTCTAATTATGCATGGGTACAATGACTAAAATCAATGAACAAAAAGTTCGTTCATATCGTTTAAGTCTTGTCAAATGTTATTTCGGTAAACTTTTCAAACATGATGTAGATCTGATTACAATTAAATGGACAGATGTTCTCCAACATTAAACAAAATTCTATTGATTATTGATCAAATTTTTCTTCATCGAAGTATCTAAACGTCTTTTCAAATTGACTCGAAATTGTACACAATAGATAGTTTACTGAAAATTTATATTTTGGAAACAATAATCTCATCGACAATCATTCAGATTTCAGATAAAAATGATAATGTTTCTATTTCAAACTAGCCGTCATTGGAAATGTGAATTGAGAATTTGTATGTAACCAGTTACTATTTCGAAAAACAACCTTCTCTTCCAAATAGTGCAACTATTAACTTTGCATCCTATCGTAGACTTTTTCATGCTACAGAAGTTCTGTGTTGAAACCAACTAAAATCAAATGTTTGATTCGAATCGTTTCTACGATAGCCTTTGTCACGGAATGACATATCTAAAGTATTGCTTTCTAGTAACAAAATTTCTTCTTTGGTATAGATAAACAATGTTATTTCATAGTGAAATATTGATGAGCAGTGTTTCACATCCCACAATACTGAAATAAAATTGAAATCATATATTTGATATAAGATGATTTGATTTTGAATTCGATACGAATGAAAATAATATTAATAATCAATTCATTTAATTTAGCTACAACACAGTCCATTGATCATAATATTTAATTTAAATTTGAGATAAATCGATTGTTTGTTCGATCAACGAAAACTTTCGTAGTATGTTCAATTTTGCCATGGAGTCCTTTAAAACAACTAAGAAAAGAGGGAAGATTCAAGTATTAGACTCTAATACCGTCATGAATGTAATTTTATTAAATATTATCACTGATGTATTTTCATTCTTTTGAAATATTTCTATAATAAACGTTCTCATACAGAATTGATTACAATCTTTGAACAAGATTTAAAATTTATTTTCCAAAAATCAAAAGAAACAATCACTGCACGATTAAGTTCTCAATTATGAATAATGTCAATATCGAATTGCATAGACTGTAGTTTGAAGTCTTGAAAATGTTTTGATAATTTCCGAATATTCAATCTGAAAAATCAAATGAAATAAAAATAATGATAGTTGACTATATAATCAGTTTTTGAAATTTTCTATCTCAGAATAGTAAGAGTCGTTTTTGACTCTATCTCTTCCATAGAGAAAGTTGGGTCACTAATTTCTTTTCAGTACTTAAAATAAGAAGTGTTAGTTTCCTCTGCATTCTCATATCCGTATCTATTTCTGTTGTTAAGAAGATACTGATTTCATACAACCTATGTTACAAAAATTAATCAATAATCATTGTATGTTCTATAAAAAAATTCTTTAATCCACAGTTATGAAATACGATTGATGTCAACTGGTTCTGATAATCAGTATGGATCAGAGACGAATCTCAAAGTTTATTAATATAATGAATGTTTTTATTTACTTAGAATTTTCTTTATGTAACTCTTAAAATACTATGAGTAAAATTTCAAAAGAAAAAGAATCGTTCGTAGATGAGTGACATCTAACGTGATTCTTAATTATTTCATATTAATGATTTTAACAAATTTCCTTCAGGATTAGATCATTGTTTATCATATATTTATCATTCAAAAAGAATTGAATCGATTTTAAAAGAGATACTTGAATTGATATTATTTGTCAAATTGAGTTAGTCAATCAAAAAAATAAGAAATTAACTCCAGACAACAAAGAACTAACATGAACAATTGTAGTCTTCACTTTTGTATAACCACGTATGAACAAACAGCTATCCTTATATTTTAATTTCGTTTTTTTTACAAAATAGTTTCAAGTATATTGTGACTTACTCGTAGAACTAATTCGGCAGAAGTACAAAATCACAGAAACATTTATTAGTTGGTTTTAGAGTGGGATTCTGTTTTTTGTCTTCTTAAAAATCTGCTTGTTTCTAGATGAAATTGAATGGAAATTAAACCGAAATGTTGAAATTCAAGATTGGTTAGATTTAAATTATCTCACAAATTAATATTAAAAAAAAACGGATGGTTTATTGTAGCACGTAAAGATAAACTAAAATTATATGTTACATTTGAATACATGTGTCACAGTAACTGTTGATGATCATATACCACTTGCTTAGTTCAAACAACCAGAATACTTTCATTACTAATATACATCACACGAACTTTTTCTTCTGACATTATTGTAGGACGTTCAGAATGTAGTAACTAGTATGCTCAATGAACAAAACTATTTCGATTCTTATGTTTATATAGGTATATGTATTTAATATGAATTACATTGAATAAAACTTAACAGAACTCGATTTTGTAAAATTCTTCTTTATTAATTTTTTGTGTCAGTTTTCTTCGAAAAAATAGGAGTACTCCTGTGAAAAAAGATCCATTTTTTTGAAAAAATAGATCAGGCTGTGCTAAGTTATTGAGCACAAATTATTTTTCTTCAATCAAAAACCTTCCTAAACTTTCTAACATGTAAAATGGCTAAGGAATCTGGGGCACATAAACAAAAAAAAACCTAGCAAATAAAGCTGAACTTTGGAAACCAAGGGTTTTTCCTTCATAGAACGAGTAGCGAGAGAACGCAAGAAGTGCACTTGCTCGAGCATGCGGGATATGTTCTTCAGATCAAAAGTCACAGAGCTTCAAAAACTAAAATTTAACGAACATTTTCTGTTTGTAAATTTTTCTGAAAATCTCTCGAAACCATCATAAAAACTAAGAATGAGTGATTCTGAAAGTAGAAAATGTTGGCTATTCGACCATGTCGAAAGCTCAAAAATCGATATTTTTGACGAGGGGGACCTTAATGAATAAAAATCATTACACTTTATATTCAATCATCGTTTACGCAGGATACTATTCAGACTTATTAATGTTCATTATATCATAGATGTTAAATTAGACATGAATAATTCCAATTGTTTTAATTTTGATCGGAATGTCAGTTTTGTACATAAGATTTCGAAAATGTCCGTTCTGAATTTGATGAATAATTGAGGTTGAATTTTATTTATTTAAATCGTCCACTGTTTCAACATCATCAAAATACATTTAAAAAAAAACATACTCATATCATAATTCAATTTACGTCTATCAAGTATTAATGTTAATCGGGTTAATTTATCATCCATATAAAAATTTCCTAATAAAGTCAATCAATTTTAATTAAATTGATTACTGTCTGTTCTTTTTTTTTATTTTAGATAAAATTCCAGATAAAAAAAGAAGAAAATGTTTATGACAAGAAGTGAATATGATCGAGGTGTTAATACATTTTCACCAGAAGGTCGTCTCTTTCAAGTTGAATATGCCATTGAAGCTATTAAATTTGGTACAACAGCTATTGGAATTATGACATAAGAAGGTTTGATGATTTTGAAAATCTTAATGAGTTTCTAATTTTATTGAAAAAAAGAATACAATGTTTTAAGATATTTTGAAAAATATTACATTTGAAATTTATTTTAATATTTACGTGTTGTATTAGCTACAGAAAAACGTATTACATCTGTATTGATTGAACCTCGTAGTATCGAAAAAATAGTTGAAATTGATGTACAGTTAAGTTTTTTTCTTAATAAATTTTCTAGAAAATAATTTTTTTTTTGTCTATTTAAGTCGTGGTTGTGCTATGTCAGGTTTACTTGCTGATGCAAAAACATTAATTGATAAAGCACGTGTTGAAGCACAAAATCACTGGTTTACACATAATGAACGTATGACTATTGAATCAATAACACAAGCTGTATCAAATATGGCATTAGCATTTAGTGATGATTCAGATGAAATTGCACCTATATCACGTCCATTTGATGTTGCACTTTTATTTGCTGGTTGGGATGAAAATGGTCCACATTTATTTCATCTTGATCCATCAGGTACATATACAGAATATGATGCTAAATCTATTGGATCTGGTAGTGAAGGTGCTGATCAAACACTTCAAGATATTTATCATAAATCAATGAAATTATCTGAAGCATGTAAACATGTTTTAACTATACTTAAACAAGTTATGGAAGAAAAATTATATGCAACAAATGTTGAGATGGCAACAGTAGATATTAATGGATATCGTTTATTTAAAAAAGAAGAAATTGATAATATTATTAAAAATATGTAAAAAAAAATAAATAATTTAATCAAAAACATTCCATTGTGTGTGTTTTTTTTCTTTTTTTGTTTTGTTTATTTCTCGAGAAAATAAGAAAGAATTCAGATGTGTGTTTTATAGAAATTTGTTTGTTGTTTTTTTTTGTTGTTTAATTCAAATAGATATGAATAGTGACGAAGAAGAATTTGATGATGATACAACTGATTATGATGAATTTGATACAACAGGTAATCAAAGTTTTATTTTTTTTCTCTTTTCGTGGTTCAATTTTATAGTATAGATGAAGATACAGATGATGACGATGATGATGATCATGGATCAACATCACAACCAATACATTTTCGTGAATGTCTTCGTTTGCTTGATGCAGCATTAAGTACAAATAATCCACCTGTTCTTCCACGATGGTGTGCAAGTGAACAAATAGGAACTATTGATGATCCAATGTTATTAATTAATGGTCATCAAAGATCTTTATCATTACCATTGGATAAACGAGAAGCTCGAAGATTTATTCGAAAAGCTGTACCATTCGATATGAAAATCGATATTGTCGATGGAATTTCAGTATGTTGTTGTTGTTGTTGTTTTTTGTTTTGAGAAAAATAATTGATGGAGTGTAAATCTCCTTGGGAGTACGAATCTCTTTGCCTAACAACGAAAAATAAAACCACTTATAGTTTCTTAGAAATGCAAAAAACGACAGTAAAAATAGTGCTGTAACTCTTTTGGAGTATTGAAAAACCCTTTCTTGAACTCTAAATGATAATAGTATGGTGCATTAATTTGTCACAGTCAATATACCACCTAAAGTGGACCGCAAAAGTTTAACATACTTTTATTTTTGAAGTTTTTCATCAAAGATGAGTAGCTAGGTCAAATCCAAATAGTGATTTGGATAGCTCTTGGAATTCTGAATAAAATCAAGGATCGTCCAGCTCTGTACGATATTCCGTCACAAAGTTAGAAGTATTAGAAAAAATGAAAAAAATTCGGTTTTAATTTAATCTTAGGGCTTTTTTGATAAAAATCAATGAAAAACCTGTTTTTTTTTCGTTTTTTTTAGTGCTTCTAACTTTGTGACGGAATATTGTACAGAGCTGGGTGATCCTTCATTTTATTCAGAATTTTCTACTCTTTCAGATGTTTATATCGAAAAATGTTCCTCTCAAAATTGTCTAGGAGTTGAAATCTCCCTGGCACGGTATTCTGGAAAACTCTCTTCATCAAGATTCTTTTGAAAATCTGACACATATTGTATTCGATAGAGAATTTCAAGAGCTATCCAAATCATTATTTGGATTTGACCTAGCTACTCATCTTCGATGAAAAATTTCAAAAATAAAAGTATCTTAAACTTTGCGATCCATTTTACCAAAAAAAGAAATATGACATAATTCGGTTCTAAACTTGAAGCAATAATTAAAATAAGAGTACTACCAGTCAAATCAATTGTAGAAGGCATAAAAGTAATAATAAATTATGGTTTTCCTCAGAACGGATCGTTTGGGCTGAAATTTATAGGAATGAGTACCCTAGTAGGAAATCCTTATGGTAAAAATTTCAGCCCAATATGTCATACTAGATTGAATTTACGGCTTTATCTTCGTCACTATAAGAAGTACAAAGCTCAGGCTGGTTTTAGATGAAAGCTAACCTCTGTGAACAATTTTTGTCCGAACAGAATTTTGAAATTTGCTTTCATTCATTTTTTATGAGCACTTTAATAGACATGATGTTCAAATAAGCACAAAAAAAAGGTGATCCTCACGGTACTAAATTCTACTTTTCTCAGGTTAGGAATCCAATATCAAAAAAAACAGTGGTTATAGCTTAAGGAGACTCCCGTTTCCGAAGTTTCTCGAGAACAGCTTGGCAAAAATTTTTGAAACTGTCAGGGTAGATAGATCTCGACGAGTAAAATAAAAGTTGTCATAGATTCTAAATTCCTCAATGCTACTCCTCCGCAGATTAAAGGCTCAAATTTTTCTGTGGCAACTAGGAACAAATCTGGGTGCATGTTTTTTTTTTCTTTGAAAAATATTTTTCCTGAGAATCAGGAGAAGCAAAACAGTGGAGGCACTATCAAAAAAACCATGAAAAAAAAGCTATTTTTTCGAATGGCTCTAATTTTCTAAAATCTGTCAAACTTGATAGGTACAACATTTTCATGAGAAAAAAAAGCATGTACCCCAATTTGATTGAAGTACTTATTAAAAAAGTTTGATCTCAATTTTTCAAACCGTCTAGGAGGATAGGGAGGAAAACTTCAATTTTTTGTTTAAAAATCTGATTTTGAGAAAATTACGAAGAAAGTTGTACTTTTTGGCTTTTTTAGCATGAAATTGAGATTTTTTATATGCAAAAGGATGATTTTACCTTCTTAAAATATGGTTATCAGATAGAGACCATCTAGATCTATGTACAACACATTAAAAATAAAAAACGAAAATACTGAAAATTTTGGATTGGGAAAGCAGGAGTCCCCTTAAATCAGGTGAGAGTTATTTCAATTTCTCTGCCTGGAAATCATGTTTTGAGAAAAACACTAAAGAAGTTACAAATGAAGATAGCTAATGCTATCTGTCATGATGCTTTAATATAAAAATGTTCTATGCAATGCTAATGCAAGTGACAATGCAGTTTTTCCAAAACAGGAAAAATTTAAGATTTTTTGAAAATTCTATTTTTCATTTTATTTTTTTTTTCTAGTTTTTACCATCATCTTGTCAAATACCAGTAAATTCATTTAATATTTTAAATACACAATGGCAAACAAAAATTGAATCTTATCTAAAACGTTCATGTATAGGTTCATCACTTGAACTTGATCCTAATCAAATTGAATTAAAAATTTCAAATCTAGTTTTACTTGAACCATGTCAATTTCCACGACAATTTATTTGGTCAAAAGATGAACAAAATCCATTAACAATAGCAAAATTATTTCTTAGTTTACCATCATCATATAAAGGTGGAAAAGAAACAATAATATATCAAAAAGAAAAACATATATTTGATTTATCAGAAAAAAATTCAATAAAATCAAGTTTTTATACAATTGTTCCAACGAGTAATGAATGTAAACATGAAATTGATTATATATCTGATGGATATAAATTAATATTAATTTATGATATTATTCCATTAACATCAAAAATTTTTTATAATGTTAATATAAATGAAACAACAATGATACGTGTTGCAAAAATTTTCGATACATGGATTAATGGATTAGAACAAGATTATCATGGTTATTCAACAAAAATAATTATTCCATTTTCTGATACATATCGTTTAGGAAATAATCTACTTTTACATGGATTTGATCGAGTTATTGGAACAATTCTTCGACGAACAATTCAACAATATCATTCAGATAAATTTCTACTTTATCAAGGTGTTATTCAACCAAATCGATCTAATGATGGAACAATACATGCTTGTCGATTATTAACAGATCTTAATTTAACAGTTCCTATTAAAATAAATGAACTTTTTGATAAAATTGATTTATGTTTGGGAAATTGTAATGAAACTTATTCAGGAAATATTTTTTTAAGAAAAACAAGAACTGAACAAGGTTTGTTTTTTTTTTGTTTATTGGACATGTTCGACAAAGAGGAATCTAGTTAGTAGGTGTCGAGTTTGATATTTATTAAAAAGAAATGTATCTGAAATCTTTGAAACTATTGTCCATTTCAAAAAAGAATAGATTCAATTGTTTATTGAATAAATTGGCAACGCTGATAGCAATTGAGCGCGGATTTTCACTGTTAGAAAGAGCATGATTAGGAATACAAGTCTACCTGAAAATCAAAATACTTGAAAAGTTTTCTAGGAGTTTTTGAAAAATTACTGGCTGATTCGCTTGATCAGCTCTATTTTTAGTTTCAACGTAGCCATATTGTAGCCCGATGTCTACTTTATAAACTCCGAAATTTTTAGATGTTTTTGTCCTGAAAATTTGCTCACAGATAGGTCTAATGGCCGATAGAATATCCTAAAAATTGTAGCTACAAAAGATGAGTCTTTCTCGAGATATTGAGTTTTCAATTTCACTTGCAAATACAGCTAATTAAGCGAATCAGACAGTAATTTTTCAAAAAATCGCTGGAACCCGCTAGAAAACTTTTCAAGTATTTTGGTTCTCAGGTAAGCTTATACCTCCACTCATGCTCTTTCTGGCGGCGAAAATCCGAGCTCGATAGCTATCAGCGTTGCCGAGTTAATCAATAAACAACCGAGTCCATTCATGAATCTCTACCAGCTACACTATGACTCATGAGGAAAGTCTTCCAACTGATAAATCATTTTTGAGTTGAAACTATGTGTATTATGTTGATCGACATGAGCTATCAACATTGTGAAAAGAGTTCGTACTGTTAACTTATTGCTGGAGAAATATTGCATTTTTACGAAATTTTTCTAAATGAATGCTATATTTAGACTTGGAACTTTTCATAGAGATAGTCCTTAACAAGGGTAAGTTTTTGTGAGTGTTTTAGATTTTGTCGCTGTTCTGATCCTAAAATACATCTATGGTAATAGTGTGCTCTTTATGTCACTCAATATAAACTACCAGATTTGATGTTCTTATTTCAGGATAGAAACGAATCAAAAGATCTGTTCACAATAAACCATTTTCGTTAAGGTCTGTCTCTATGCAAAGTTTCAAGTTGAAATTCGAAAATCAGCTTTTTTTGGACCACGACATTCCATTTAAAAAATGCTGTAAAACTGCAGTATTTCTGCAGCAATAAGCCAAAGCAATAAAGTTGTTTGTACAGTATTTATAGCTCGTTTGAATTTACATAATACACATAGTCTCGACTCAAAAGCAATTTATCAGTTGGAGGACTTCCCTCATCAGTCAATTAGTATCATATCTTTTTCTTAAATTAACTCGTCAAACAATTTTTTTCGGAAGGAAAAGATAGGGAAAAAAGGCAGATTTTTAACCATCGATATGACACTAAGAATGTTCTAAAATCTGCTTATCAACGGAA